ATTTTTCTGGGAGAATTAAATTAAGCAAGATAATTGCTTTTAAAGTAGTTTATATCTTGTAAAATGCATAACTTAAGCTAGATAGGTGATAAATTGTGATTCCAATTTTGCTAGTCTTGTGTTGACATGTTCTAGCTAGAAAAATATTAAACCTATAGTAAGCATACTTGAAATATGGTCTTCATATTTAATCCTAATTAATTACTAGTTTCTAGTGAAATTAATTAGGGTAAAAATACATAATATATGATCATACAAATTTTTACACAGTATTATTGTGCTAGGAGGAAAGTAAAAAAATATTAAATATGTTGCTTGACACTTTTCACTATGCTAAACTATTTTTTACTAAAATAATCCTATGTAACTTATCATTTCTGTAAAGGTAGCTATACTTATCCAAATGGCATGAAATTTATACAGCAGACCATTAAGGTCATTTGTAGACTACTATAATTTGATTATAATTTGTTAAGCGATGGAAATATTTATCCTTTAAATCATCTTATTATCTAAGGAAATTAATAAATGGATATAAATAAATTAGTAATGTTTAACCATGATGTTTTCTGTGGTGCTTGAGATGCATATGATATGTTGATGTTCTTCGTTAAGCTTAGAAGTAATTGGTTGTATGTAACTAGTTAATTATCGCTTTATAATTCAACTAGATGGCTGCATGTATAATTTCTGTTGTGGTGATGAATTCATATTGTTAATGATCTTTTCTGTAAAGATGGTTACAGACAAAGTTGTAGATAACTTACTGATCTACCTTGTGCTAAATTTTCATAGTCATAGGCCTTATGATTTAAGAATTATGGCTATTAGAAGTCTACTGTCCGAAATGCTTCCTCTCTGGACAAATTTGAATGATTGAATTGTTTGACCTAGATAACTGTCGAATCACATTAAGTGTATTAAAATAAAGTTGTAGGCAATTTCATAAGCTTTCCACAATGTCCACAACCATATTATTTTGATGTGTATAACTCCAGTTATGATCAAAACATGTGTCTAGTGTCTTGCAATCCAGAAAATTGTTTATATGAGAATTGGTTTAGTTACTAGAGAAGAGATTTGCACCTACTCAGTAAAATAAGATGTAACTTGTTATCACCTTAATGCAATGCTGGTGAACACACTTATGAGGATGCATTCATCACACCATATCATATTATACATGTCATCATATCTGTATTCGTGATATCTTATTTTATGCTCATGCATATAGGATCGTCCGAAGGGATAACTCTCCTAGAGTTCAATGAAGAAGAGGAGGTGGATCAGCAGGAGACGCCTCAGTCCATAGCTCCAGCAGAAGAGGAGCAAACTCTTGAGGACCTCCCTGAGTGCCCGGATCACCGGCTAACCTCTTACCTCAAAGGCAAGCCCCGAAGCATTCTAAGTCTCCAATGTTTTACAAAACTTCACTTGAGTTCTTTATGTTTGATGCATTAGGTTATAAGAGTTGATTAGAAATACTTGATGCATAGAACTACCTTGTCCAGTTACATATACCTTTAACCCTGTGTAGGTCCAGGATCGAATATATGCTTAGCCATGCTTAGACTAGTAGAAGTCGGGTGATTTTCTGTCACCTGCGAGATATAGGTGGATACCGAAGTACGATTGGCTATATTTTCTATCGTGGAAAAGAACCATGGGAAAATAGAAATGGAGGCCGGACGGAGTCTATGCGTAGGTTGAATCATATGATTCCATCTATGCCGATTAAGAACCGTACCGTTGTTGGCGCTTCTGACAAGATTGAACGCATGCTTTTCACTTAGCTAACCGGATAACTCATTTCGACCGCGAAGCCGAGTAGCTCAACTCAGGCCGGGCCCCGTTCTGTAAAAGTGTGCACTCTGGATGGTAGTGAGGATGTGCGGGGAGCTAGACGTGAGCCCAAGGGCGGGGTAGTCCTGATCGTCCTGGCATCTGGTTATCCCTGATTGTGCAGCGCTGGTCGAACCCGTGAAATGTGTACCTGAGTTGTACTAAAGGTGACCTAAGGTGACCGTTGATCTGGTCTGCCTGGATTTGTGTTAGGAATAAACTTCCAGCTGGTTGAAATCGATTCGAATCGCCGTCTCTCCCGGACAGTGAGAAACTTGGCTAGTCACTATATCATAGTAACTGTGTTATGAAATAATGGTTATGATGAACATGGAATTACTACACCGGCTATGATTACTATTGTATGCTACTAAATGACATACCACATGTTTGGCACAGGTTAGTGCTAATCTAGAGATGAATAGCGATAATTAACTTGATGATTGAATTATAATTGTACAACTGAATTAGTCGCTTTTTATGCAAAATGTGTCAAGCTAGCTCCACTTATAAAGCCTTGCATAATTCTTGGAGTCACTTTATTTTTGGTTTACGACGGGTAAGTCTAGCTGAGTACCTTCTTATACTCAGGGTTTTATTCCCATTGTTGCAGATGGTACAATTTATCATGGCTACTGCAAGAACTGTTTTTGTCCCGCCGTGGACAAGGAGTGAACCCTGGACAGGCATATCTTATTAATCCTTATTATATGCTTTTGTGGAAGTGTGATCGTGGGCTGGCACTATGTTTAAACAATGATGGCAGATGTTAGTTTCAAACTTTAATTTGCTTTCGCTACTATTTTACTGAACTTGGTTTGTAATAACCTAAATTCGTACTCTGATGAATGAACTATAATTGTGAACTTTATGTAACGTGTGACATGTATGTTGAATCATGTACGATCTTGGTTGTATGTTGATGGTTAATCGAGACCCTTCGTGATACTCGACGGACTACCGGGTTTATATGGGTTCAAGTATGATAGAGCGACCGTTTGTGGGCTACCATTGTACTTGTGCTCTTATAAATTGGTCAGTTCTGCTACGTAGTTAACTTCAGAAAGCTCAAGGAGTTTTATGAATCTTGCAGCCGTAGCTATCGCTCCTGTTTCTGCTATCAGAAGAAGGATGTAGGAGTTTTGCCTGTAATTCTGGATGCTAAACCCACTGCAGGAAAGTGATACAGTTATATAAAGCTGTTTACCAGGAGCCTTCATACAATAATGGCTGCATATACAGTTTGTATGTTGGCTGCAGTCTGCCACACTTATATAAAGCTGGAGAACTATTGCTGGAGAACTGGCAGGAGATGAAGATGTCGGAAGTTGGAGAACTGACAATGCAAAAGCGCATCATAAAAGGACGGCATGGTCTATCATGATTTTCATTCTACAATATTCATTGGTGTGGTAGCTATGGACAAAACAATGTAAATTTGCAAGGGTACGGTTAAATGGCATCCTACTAAGTGAGAATGAGGAGACAATCAATTGAATCATTTCGGTTAAAAAATTAGACTCAACCAAACTGAGGGGAACAAACAAAACTGCTGAAGCATTTGCACTCAAACTTAGCAGACATGGTTCAAAGAACAATGTTCACATAATAATCACTGACAGGGAACGTGAGACCAGTAATAATCTGAAGCTTTCTCTTATCGTGATCACAATGTTTCAATAATAATATGTGATAAATTCAGAGAACTATACACCTTTCTAGGAAGCAGCAAACCCTCCACTATCGATCTAGGAAGCATAAGGTAATCAGTAAATTAAAATGTTACGCATATCCCTCTCCTCTTCGCTGTTGTACTGACAAACCTGAAACAACACCATATGATGCATTCCCAGTCGAACGGGTGTTTACTTCAGTTTACATGATTTGATTAAACTCGCACCGCGCATAATTACTTCTCATATCAATCAAAGATATAGACATATCCCCTAACAAATCAAAGCTAGAGCCTACTATAGCAACACAAAGAACATAGGTGCATATTGTAATGTAGTCAGACTAGTATTATATCGTAAGACGACATCAAAATAAAAATGATATGATATTTGCTAAACTAAATAATACAGAATTAATCACATATCACATGCGAAAAGAACATATGTGACCTAAAAAGTGGGGTACTTCATTTTAGTTTTCAAGTTTAAGATGAATCATAGTTGGATACCTACATTAATAAATTTGGGTATAACACCTCATATAAGTAATAAATATTGAAGAAAAGTAGTTCATTGTACCTGCCAATGTCTTGAGTAGCATCAGAGAACGATAGAACTAACTCTCAAGGTGCTTCTACAGAACCTATACAAAATACACAGAAGGTGCTCAAATAGATTGAGGCAAATGATCAACATTTATAGAAAGTCAACTACATAAATAAAAATCAATATTATATGCTCCAATGTTTGACAACGTTACAAAATCTCTAAAAAATATATTTTGTCGAATCCAAACCAATGCTACAGTCTGATTCTACGACCCAATACAAAAAACCAGAAGACAATCCTACCTACGATTTCAATCCTAATAACTCTGAATACAAACCGAACCGCCGAGACATTTGCTTGAAACAAAGGAAATATATGACTACCCATCAACACTCAACTCGATTCAAGTAGCTTTGCAATTACAAGTCACGTTCTTCATATTTGACTTAGCTGACAAACTGTAGAAGAACCAGACACACCCCGGTCCCGTATATTAGATTTGATGACAACCTGAAATAAACAGTACATATGGATTGATTGCGCCAACGCAGAAGCAACAACATACTAGTGCGTAACTAATATCAGATCCAGCAAAATTGGTAGACTGACATCCATATCCCAACAGTCACCACAAATAGGACCCGTTTGGCACCACACAAGTTAGGCATGCCAAACTGAGTACGGCATTTGTTTGGTTTATCGCATACCCCATAGCTTATAGACATTCCACCGAAGTCTTAATGTCTAACTGAACAAACATATTATTCACAAAACGTGCATAAGCAAAGTACTCGAGCTATTACAACCAAGTGAAATCATCTGAGAGGATTCAAACAAATGAAATCATTAGTCCCTTGACCAGTGCCTTGTCAACAATACTTACAACAAACCGGATACAGCTAGAACAACTAGATCAGTTATTCTGAATTTCTAAACTCACTCCTTGTCAAGGTGATGGTCTATGATTTCAGATACAGTTTCTAAGAACATGTTTTCACTGGACCCTGGGAGAACAGCATCCTCTGCTTCCTGAATGATGTCCTCAATCTCAGAGGCCCTATTCACAGTTCCCCTGCATAGTATGCGCCCTATGTCATGTGGTGTGAGGCCACGAGCTGCACCTTTCTTCAAAAGCATTGTGCTGATGCGCAGGACACGAGCGCATCGTGGAGGCAGCTCCCACCCATGGAACTTGAGAAGCTTGATGTCTTCTTCAGCATCAAGTGATTTAATGTATTCAATAGTTTCATCATTGAATGGCTCACGGGCTTGGGGCCAGTAAAGCCACTCAAATGTACAATCTTCAAACTGCATAGCATAGGGCAACATAAGTTTCTAATCAGCCATATGAAATAAATATGGTGCAAGCAGATGAACCAAATACATAATGTAACAGAGAAATAATCACCTTCTCTGGCAAGCAGTAACCATGATCAATTGGAATCAGCTTGTAGTTGCCACCTTCTCCCTCCTTGCACACTAGAATATTCCCAGCATGACGATCAGCATTAGCTAACCTAATATCTAGTACTGCTATTTTGTGAACCTCCTTGACAGGAAAAGGTCGAGGACCCATATCTTCAGTGCTTCCATTGTTCTCCATGAACATCTGCAGTGAACCAATCTTGAAGCTCTTCCCCCTATGTAAGGTTCGGACCAATGTGGTGGGAGGCACACCAGAAAACCCTACACTGTGACCAGATTTACTATCACTAACTGGATGGTCAAGAATATAAGCTGCAACCTCCCTGAATGCACCTTCCCCTACAATTGTTCCCCTCTTCATCCCCTCGCCATCTGTGGACAAAGGAAGGCCCCTTGGGTTGTTTTTGGCCATGGGTTCCTCATCAATAGGCTTAAACACAGCAACATTCTTCTCACCTGCTGCATCTCGCATGAAATAAACACCTCCTGAACCTTCAGCTGACATCACAGGCAGGTGCCCTTTCTCCAGTCCAGCTATGGTTGAATTTATCATCTCCATCACTTCAGGTGACAGCTTTGCTTTTCGGTTAACTATTGGTTCAACAGGAGCAGGCCTAACCCCAACTGATTTTGCGGAGTTCATTGCACGAGCTTCATTTTGCAGGTTGCCTTTCTCCTGTGGATTGACAACTGTAACCAAAGTATCTCTGTCAACTTGTTGTGTCCGTACCTTTGCTGGTCTGCGGATGAACAAATGAATCACAGCATCATCCCTCTTGCTAATATCAGCTACAAGCTGGTGGTCCTCAAGCTCCTCACCATCGTATTCAAGTTTGTGATCCTCAAGATTACCAATATCCTCATCACCCTCTGCTGCAAGCTTGTTCTTGAGAAACTTAACATTGCGGCTCTGGTCCACCTGAAACTGAAACTTCTTTCCAGTGGCAGTCTCAATGTTGATCACACGGAGATCAGACAGCCGAATAACAAGGTGGAGAACATTTCCCTCGGCCAGCCCATAATCCTTGACTGGGCAGTTGTTTCTTGCCAGCTCATGCCCATCCAGCACAAGCCGCTGCTTCGTCACCACAAAGCCCTTGAACCGCTGGATGCGCAGCTTGACCGAGGCAATGGACTCGGATCCCAGCACGCTCATGGGCATGGGTGGCATACCAGGCACAGCAAGGAAAATAAGAATGGAATCCTGCAGCTGTGACCCAGACGAGCAGTGTGGCGACCGGCTGCCATTGAAGCAGATGGGCAGGAAGGCAGGGTCTTCTGGGATCGGCCCCAAGACGATCACACCTGCTGACGACATATTCACAGGGTCGCTACTAAGGAGACCGGAGCTTCCTCAACAGCTGCTACCACTAATATTTACACTAAATCTACAAAGTTAGATTCCTGAGACTACAAGGCCGGCGCCATGGAGACGGAAATCCAAGGGCTTCTTCCCTCCCGATCCAGGACGGAGGAAACCCTCAGAGAGAGCCGCACAGAACAGCAACCGAGATTACAATCCCATCTTGTGTTCAAATAAAATCAAATCTGCACAAAAATTGCAGAGCTTTCAGTTAAACTTTGATACAAAACAAAACAGATGATAGGCGACACGGATGAGAAGGTGCGTACCAGGATTGATATGGTTGGGGGGAAAGTGGCGCAGAACCGTCACTTCGCCCTGCCGATGGTCGAATCCCCAATCGCGTAACGAATGCTGCAAACGGCATGATCATTTGGAGCGATGAGTCAGGAATTCACTCAAATCCCCAGTAAATCGTAACAAAAAAATCAGTGAAATTGCTCACCAACAGGCAACAAAGCAGCAACCCTTGCCCCCTTTTCCCCGATTGGGGGGAGCACACCAAAGGGCCGGCTCCTTCAAACACTCAGCCAGGATTGGGGCTGAAGCCCCACGGATTCCTGCCCTCCCAGCCCAAACCTGCAGCATCACATCTCAGATCAGATCACCCCGATCGATTCAAACCCCAAACCCCGAAGCAAGACTAAATTCAACAGAAGTTACAGCGAAAATCGCAGGACGGACTCGTGCGCTCACGGGAGCGGAGGAAGAGATGCAACTCACCACGCCCGAATTAGAGAAATGATATGTAGGCTTCCCAGCCCCAAAGTCCCCAACGTCCCCTTCCTTCTTGCTCCGCGGTTCACGCAGGGAAGGGAGAACAAGAGAGAAAGTGATGGTTGGTTTGAAGTGCACAGCAAGGAAGAAGAGAGAGAAATGGGAAGCAGGAGGAGAGAGAAAGGAGATGGATGCGGGGGGGCTGCTGATTTTTATTCCTGGGCTGCGCCGTCACTTGACGGACGGACGTGACGGTGATGTGACGGGCGCGTCGCAGGCTCGCAGCTTCGCGGAAAGATGCGTAGGGGAGTTTCCTACATACGTGACGTTTTTGCCCCTGGGTGCTCGGGTTCAAAGCAATCTCGCGCAGTCAAGATTATGGGCTAAACTGGACTAGAATTAGAATTGAATGCGTGCCACCTGCAGTAAAGTATTAGAATTGACTAGATCAATTTGGAGAGGTTCTACTAGCTTCCCTCACGTTTATACACGAGCGTCTTGCTTTTTCTTAGAGCATCTCTAAGACTATTCCAAAAGTCATTTTTAATCTTAGTTTTTTTTTGCAAGATTGAAAAAAACTCTTTCCAATAACTCCTTATCACAGATAGATGAAGAAAAAGACGTGGAGAACAATAAAGAGAAATGATAGGGTTCTCGATGTAAACATACGAGAGAGAAAAAAGTATAAAAGTGGTTAGGGGTGGTTTAGAAATAGCCAGGGTTCCTAATGCAAAATTGTCGTCTAGCTTTTACAAGTGAGATATTCAAAAATGGTTGAAGAAAGCCAACAAATATATTCCCTACTTTTTCAGCAACTTGAAAGACTCATTGATTTAGCAATTCTTTTTTTAATTATTGGAGATTGTCGATTAAATATGCTCGGCAGTCCACCGAAGAGAATCCCCACGATGGTAGATTGATCAGAGGGATGCGCGAGATCAAGAACAAGAAGGCAACAGAGACACAAGAGTTAGACAGGTTCGGGCCGTCAGCACGATGGTTGAGGCGCCGTCATGATTGGGGGCTTCGTTAAAAACAACTTGAGCTACTCAAAGGCCGTATCAGCCTCCTCCGACCAGGAGAAGCGCTCGGAGACCTTGAGTAGTTTGAAGAACGGTAGTCCCTTTTCGCCGAGGCGTGATATAAAGCGGCTGAGAGCAGCCATGCACCCTGTGAGCTTCTGTATATCATTTACGCAGGTCGGCCGTTTCATATTGGTAATGGCGGAGACCTTATCAGGGTTGGGTTCGATGCCACGGTCGTTGACAATGTAGCCCAGGAGTATGCCGGATGGAACTCCAAAGATGCACTTTGAAGGGTTCAACTTTCATCGGTATCTTTTCAGGTTGGCAAACGATTCTTCGAGGTCGGCGATGAGATTGTCGGTGGTTTTGGATTTGACGACCACATCATCGATGTAAGCTTCGATGTTGCGGCTTATCTGTTAGTCAAGGCACATCTAGATGGCCCTTTGGTAGGTCGTCCTGGCGTTTTTTAGTCTGAAAGACATGGTGGTATAGCAATACGCACCGAAAGGCATGATGAACAATGTTTTGATCCGGTCGTCCTCTTTGAGGGATATCTGGTGATAGCCGAGATAACAGTCGAGGAAGGAGAGGAGTTCACAGCCGGCAGTGGGGTCTACAACCTCGTCTATCTGGGGCAGACCGAAGGGGTCTTTAGGGTAGTATTTGTTGAGATTAGTGTAATCAATGCACATTCTCCATTCTTTATTCTTCTTTTGAACAAGAACTAGGTTTGCCAGCCACTCAGGATGATACACTTCTTTAATAAATCCGGTTGCTATGAGCCATTTTATTTCTACCCTAATAGCCTCCTTCTTGTATGGCGCGAATCGTCGGAGCTTCTGCTTGATCGGCTTTACGGTCGGCGAGACATTCAAGGAGTGCTCGATCTTCTCCCATGGTACCCTTGGCATAAAGATAAAGAACGCGACGTGGTTCATTGAAGTAGAGGTTTCAAGCAAACACGGTGTCCTCGGTTCATGTTCAAAAAAATAGAAAGTTGGCAAACCATAAACGAAGAATTGACGGCCTCTCCGTATTAGTAAGCGCCCTTTCGTATTTAAACACGGTCGAGATGAGCCCCAATCTTGGAGATGAGCCCCAATCTTGGCGACCTTGGTGGGGTCGTCGAGGCCGAGGCCGACCTCCTTTGTTTCCTTACACTTGGTGGAGGCACGTGGAGGCTCCAGCGCTGGGATCTCTAGGTCGTCGACAGGCACCGTCTTGGCGTCGATGACCATACTAGCCATCTGGATGGAGAGGTCGGTGGCTTCGGCGAGGGAGAGACTCTCTATTTTACAGGCATAGGCGATGGAGAGGTTGGCCCGTAGAGCTAGAACTCATGTAGGTGCGGGCATCTTCAATACCAGATAGGTGTAGTGCGGTATGGCCATGAACTTGGCCAGAGCTGGCCGACTAAGTATGGCATAGTAGGTGGTGTTGAAGTCGGCGACGTAGAAGTTGATGTGCTCGACACGGAAGTTGCTAGCCATGCCAAATTATATCGGGAGGGTGATCTCTCCAAGCGGTTGGCATGCCCTGCCAGGTACCACCCCCCAGAAGGAGTCAGAGGGAGTGAGGTCTTCTACTCCAAGGCCCAGCTCCTTTAGGGCTCTGGCAAAGAGCAGGTTTAGGGCACTTCTGCCGTCGATGAGTACTTTCCTAAAGAGTACTTTCTTGACAGTTGCATCGAGAACGAGGGGAAGCACCCTACGTAAGGGATGTCCACCCATTGGTCGGCCCTGCTAAAAGTGATGGGGACCTCAAACCAAGAGCGATAGCTAGGGTCGGTGATAGCATTGTCTGAGTTGGCAGCGAGCACCCGGCGGGCGGTGAGTTTTTTATCTCTTATATTCTCGACGGTGGCGAGGCCCTCGAAGATAGTGGCGACCACTTTGTCGTGATCCTAGAAGGCATTATTGTTGTCCCTAGGTGGTCGGTGACCTCTGGCTTCGTCATCATTGTCATCATCCTTCTTTTTTGCCTGGAACTCCTTAGCCATTCCAAGGCAGTCCCTCATCTTGTGCTTGCTATTCTTGTGGAGGGGGCACGAGCCTTTGAGGATTTTCTTGTATTGCTCGTCGTAGTTATGTTTGGCGCGAGGTTCGTCAATGGTGGTGACGATGTTGTCTGGTCGACGGTGGCGATACTGACCAGCTTTAGACCGTTCTGGCCGACTATGGCTACTGTCTTGATGGTGGCCGTGGTCGTCGTAGCGGCAGTCACTATGGTGTCGTTCATCGGGGCGATCATCGATGCGATGAATTGAGCGGTGAGTGCCCACATCCTTGTTGAAGCGAACTTCGGCCTCTTCAGCGTCGGCGTATTGATCGGTGGTTGTGATCATCTCGCCAATCCCCTTTGGCGGCTTATGATTGAATTTGGAGCGGAGTTCACGATGATGGAGTCCTCGGACAAAGGCGGTGATGACTTCTGCTTCCGTGATGTTGGAAATAGAATTCCTCATCTCAGAAAAACGTCTGATGTAGCTATGGAGAAGCTCGGATGATTTTTGATAAATACGATTCAAATCGTGCTTGGTGCCTGGCTGAGTACACGTAGCCATGTAATTGTCGGTGAAGACCTTCTTCAACTATTCCCAAGATTCGATGGAATCTAGGGAGAGGCTCGTGAGCCAGTTCATTGCGGTCGGCATGAGCAGATGGGAAGATAGTTCACCATGACACTAGTATCTCCCCTTGCGGCACGCACAGCGGTGGCATAAGCTTGTAGCCACTGTGTGGGATTCATTCGCCCCTTGTAGGGCTCAACCCCAGTGATTTTGAAACCACAGGGCCACTAGAGTGTTCGAAGTGCCCTCGTGAATGCTCGGGGCCCTTTGGAATCATCACCGTTGGGATTGGGAGCATTGCCGACGTTAAGTAGCTGGAGGTCTACATCTAGATTGCCGAATTCTTGCTCGTATTCTTGACGTCGGCGTACTTCCTCCTCATGCCGAGAGAAACGGCGCCCATTGATATGATGTCGTGCATCCCGGAGGTTGTTGATGTGTTCTCGGACATCTTGATCGACTTCTTGGTCGTGTTGGTGAGGGTTGTTGATATGGTTCCCCCAAGCTCCCCCTAGAGGGGTATCATCATGGGTTGTCTATCATCATGATGTTGGTTGGCGAAACGGCTTCTATTGGGGCGGTGATTGGATCTTGGCGCGGCGGATCAATGATTCGAGCTTGTTGAGTAGGAAGGTCCCTGA